AGGGGATTATATAAAAGTAGATTTTTTGGGGGGGGGGGGGGGGGGGTGAATCAGCAGCGGTTTTGACCTATGTAGTAGAGGTGGGATCTTTCGTTGTCAGGGAAGTTTAACCACGAAATGAACGGGGAGCTTTTTTTGGCAATCACAGCGTTGGGACAGGGAACTGGCTGAACCAATGCCGGCCAAACAGCGCAATAATAATTTGAAATGCAACACGCAAGGTCCCCCCCCCCCCCCTGTCACTTCTAGTCCAGCCTGAGGACACGCACGTGTTGTGTGCCTTTGAAGGTTTATTTTCATCATGTTTTGAGACTCCCTGTGTCCTAACCTTTTTTTTTGTTCGGTGTGTCTACGTTGCACGGACTCTGGTACGTGTCATGTGTCAGACGGCGGGCTTCCGTGCTCTTTCGGTGCCGGAGCGGACGAGGACGATGACGACTACGACTACGACGACGCTGGTTACGGTACGACGACATCGTCAAAGTTCTTTCCTCAACCGCATAGCGGCGACAACACCGGCGATGACGGCGACGAAATCATGGAACTCCAGTTGTGATGGAACGCGGGGGTCCCGGTTCGAACGACACGGATGGACGGGTGTATATGGGGTGGAAGTGGTGGCAAGTAGACGGAATTCGGGATGGTATCTTGCAGCTGCAGTTTTGAAGAATCCCCAACGCTTGAACGGGACAAGAGTGGCACGGGCATACATGGGATGGAAGCGGTGCAAAATAGACAGGATCCTGGATGGAATCTTGCAGCTGCAGCTTGAACAATCTCAACGCTTGAACGGGACTGAGTTGGGACAGGTATACGGGATGTAAAGTAGTATACGGGATGTAAAGTAGACAGGATTTAGGGATGGCACCTTGCGGTTGCAGTTTCGAAGAACCCGCCAGCGCTTGAACGAGATGTAGAGGACGACGTTGGGTGATGGTCTACGGTACGGACACCACCATGTTCCACGGTACACCACCATGAGATGGAACGAGATCACCTGCCCTCTTGTGATGCCTTTCGTCGCATACGGCTGTCTGCGTCAATTTCGTCGCCATGAAAGAAGCGTGTCTCGTCGGTATTTTGGGACTGACTGCCGGCATTGACAGCGAAAATACCCAAAATCCAAACTCAAACAACAGGGTGCCTGACCCCTGCCTGAATGATGACTTTTTTATCTCCGCCACAAACAACAATGGCCGAGCGGGGGGCGTCCCATGCCTCGTCTTGCCATAAACGTACCTTTGCGGTGAAAAAAAAAAAGAGAGATGGATATCACTCATGGCGCCGACGCCGCACGCGGGTGTGTTGCTGTGTGGCCCCACAGCTTTTCTGTTTCGACTTCCGACATATCGCGTTCTAAAGTAGTGGCAGCACCGCCCACGTTCACCCGCGTTGGAAAATGTCAAAAGCACTTGTGGAATGATGCGTACGATACTGGAGCACGCCGTGCGCACAGAGATGCCGCAGAAGAGATCGAGATGAATCCATACCGAGGGCACCGCTCTCGACACAGGTGGGTTGCACGAACTACGGTAAAATGGTTCTTCTATCGCAGAAAGATCTCTAAAAAGCCCGGTTGACCTACTAGAAACGCTCTGCTATCGGTGCTGGACGTGTCAAGAAAAACAGCCTCTTTCAACGGTAAATACCCGAACCTGTCTGCTGCACATGCTATACTGGTCCTACCCCCCCCTTGCGGATCTCCCCCTGTATGTTCCTTCTTGGCTTCAATCGCAGTCTTCCTCGTCACCAGCTCCACACACCGAGTCGGAGCGCCTCTTGTTGGGGCATGCCGTCAACCCTCCACACACACTTTTGTAGGCTCTCTTTCCCATCTTCCCTAGGGGGGGTAGTAGTGTCGTCGTGACCGCCTTCGCCAGGATTTTATTGTTGATCTCCGAAATAGAGAGGGGGGGGTTGTACATCCCCAACCCCTAGACCTCCGAAGTAGAGAGGGGGGTGTGTAACCGTAACTCCTAAATCTTCGAAATAGAGAGGGGGGGTTCGTATCCCCAACCTACTAAAACCAAGCTTAACATCCTCTCGCCAAGGCTACAGCACTGGGTCATCGTCGTCACCACGTCCCCCCTCCCACTTTACCCTCGACCACCTCCTCGGTGACCGCCTCCTCCGGGTCCAACTCCACGAAAACCTCGTTCCCTATCCCGATGTACTTGGGCCGGTGATACAAGATGCTCATCGCCAGCTTCCCCGCCTTCGTGAAGCACGCCACCGAGTTGTACATCAAGATCCCGCTCCGCACACGGCCGTCGGCACCCTTCGCGGGCTCCACCCCGTCCGCCGCTAACCTCTTGAGGAGCTTCGCTCTCACTTCCGCCGCCTCGGGGTCCTAATTGATTTCGCGTGATTGTTGTTTATTTTCGTTATGATTAGGGCTTGCCGGTTGCATTTGCTACGCGTGAAGAAGCTCGGTTTAAAAGCCCGTACCGAATGGTCGGTCATCGTTGTTAGGGATAGGATTTGACGTTTCGTTTCTACGCGTGAAGTCGCTCTGTTTAAAAGTCAAAAACGAATGGTCGGTAACTTGTCGTTGTTGGGGTTTAACGTCATGTTTACGTTTTGAAGTCGATCCGTTTAATCGCCCGTACCCAGTTGGACCAGTACGGATGGTAACAGGTACTGAGCGGAGACCGCAACGGTTTTTTAATGTGCAGACAGCAACAACAAAATGGCTAGTCATGTCTGTTGTCAGGAATACGTTTAGGGCTAGGATTGAACGTTATGTGTACGCGCGAAAGTCAATGTTCGGCCACTCCCGCTTCTACTGACTGCTGCAGCCATTGTTTTGGTTATTTCATGTCGATATTGTTATTGTTGTAAGGGTTACGTTTAGGGTGAAGCTTTGACTTTTCGTTTTCTTGCGTGAAGTCGCTCCGTTTAAGCACGTATCTGGTCGGTCATTCCTGCCCCTACTGACTGCTGCTGTTGCCGTGGTTGTGGCTTGTTCTTGCTGTGGTTTCTATTGAAATATTCTTGTAAAGCATGTACCCTTGCCTATCAATAAGGAAATTAGAACTTGTATGCCCTATAGTGTTGGATATCGTATCGATTTTTTTGATATATCGTATCGATTTATCGTATCGATATCGGATATCGAAAACATTTGAACTTTTCGATATTTCGATATTTCGATATCGATACGATAAATCGATAAATACTCCACGGAACCCCTGATGTTCCACACGGAACCTCCACAGCTGCACACCACACAGCACACAGCAGCTGCACGCAGTGAAATGCGCGCATTCAACGAAGTAGCTGCAGCTACTATCCATTTATCTCTCATTATTGTGCCATTTATCTCTCATTGCTGTGAGAGCTTTGCTCTTCTGCGACAAGCAAGCTTGCTTTTTTTGTTGCGGCGTGCGATACCGCTGAGCTTTCTTGAGCAGCAGTGTAGAAAAATCAACTGATGAATGTGATTTTCATTTCTCGGTGAAGATAGATGCAGATAGACTATTACCCACATACACATTGTTTTTTCAAGCAGCTGGCTGTACACTGACGGCAGGTTTCGGAGGCCTATTTGCGGGTAATTTTGATGGGAAATGAAGCGAAATTGCTCTAATTTCTTGGCCTCCGGCGGCGCCTCCAGCGGGGCCCCCTCACCAGCCGGGGGGGGCCGCTTGGGCTCGCACAGCGAGCTTCCGCGCCTTCGCGCGTCAGCTCACTGTGCTCGCCGGCTCGCTTCGCTCGCTACCAGCGGCTCGATCACTTCACGGGCGAATCGTATCGAATCTATTATTGAATCGATATCCAACACTAATGCCCTACAACTTCAGTGCATACATGAGGACCATGTCATGCCCGCCGTCCGTTACAATATCTTTGCAGGCTAAGCATTACATTCGCACACGAACACACAAGGTCCTTCTTGGCGACAGCACATGATCGCATCCTGGATCTGTCAACACCAAACTATAACCTCTGTACCTGATCACCCCCCCCCCCCCCGGATCTTCTGTCTTTTGCGCCTGACTCGTGAGCTAGGCTGTTATTGCGAGA